GCAAAGTTGAAGCTTTTAGTCCTGCGTTCCATGTCTTCATTATTAACCACCTCTGCCTTTTCCCTGTCCAAAAGTTCCTAAAACAAAGTAAAACTTTGGATGTTACGGTTTTATTTGCAGTTATGTTCTGTGCAGAAACAATGTAAAACTTAAGGTGACAGTAATTTTAATTCATGTTTTAGATCTCTATTTTAAAGTGTGGTTTTAATGTGGCTTCATGGCTAGCACCTGCACATTGTTGATCATGACAGTGAAAGGGATGTTGTTTTCCCTGAGGAAGTCTTTGACGGCATTCAGACTGGTGCGAGGCACACGGATATCAACAGGCCGTTCAGTAGAGAAGCCATGGGCCCAAAAATCCAGCTATAGGGTCACATAACATTCATCAATATTTTATGTGTTTAATTGAAAACTTAAGTATGTCAGCAAGCTAAACAACATCATACCCCTGAATCCTCATCCTCTTCCAGCTCCCTCAAAACTTGAATGTGGTCTTCAGATTCTGCATGGATTCTAAGAACTTGGTCTCTATCAAAGAAAGACAGTTAGGTTACATTTTGAATAAGAAACAATGCTGTAATAGGGTAATAAGTCATTGGAAAAGAGAAAGTATCTGAACTTACCCATTAAAGAGCTCCTCGCAGTGAACTGCGGCCAGGAGGGCAAAGACAGCTAGATAGAGTCTCATGTTCTCTGGGAATGATCTCTACTGTAAGTTTTTCATGGATTGCTGCTCTTATACACTCAGAGACACATGTTGAATTCTCAGTAATATCAGTACTGATAGTGTGTGTCTTTTCCAGGTGAACATTGCAGCATATTTCTCAGGGATTCTATGTACTAAACCATTTTAAAGGTGCTATCTCACAGTTTAACCCTGCTCTGACCTCTGTCAAAAATGTATCAAGTTTTTTGGAACACCGAAAAAGCATAATATTTTCAAATGACAAATTTCATATCCATCATATATACACTTGGATCTTTATTGAAGTGTACATTTCTCTTAATAAGGGTGTTCAGAAACATATTGCATAATGTATTTGAGAGCAAGCCACGTCTCCCTTGCCGTGGAAACGATCTGGTCAGCAGGCAGGAGGAATCCGTACTTGCCAGTGTCACGCAACTCAAAAGCAAAGGAATATTTGATGCCACGTTGGTAAGCCCAGTCAACACTTGCACCACTAGCTTGCTCTGAAATAAAACATGCAGGTTAAATTCGTTTCTGATAATCCTGATACTGCTTTTTCTCCAAAATCTCCGGTCTTTTCTAACATGCATCTTGAGACATCACTTAAAGAGACAGTTCACCAAAAAAAGTTCATGATCATTATTTACACACCCTCGTTTCATTACAAACCAGTATGCATTTCTTTCTTCTGCAAAACACAAAAGATGATATTTTGTTGGTGATCAATCAGTTTTGGTTCCCATTTAAATTAATTGTATGGACAAAAAATGAAAAAACAAACAAAAAAACAACCGTAGTAAATGGGAACTGAAACCATTTGAATACCAACATTGATAAAAAATATTACTTTTGAGTTGTGAAGAAAGATATGCATACAGGTTTGTAACGACATGAAGGTGAGTAAATAAATACATCTATTTAAAATTTTGGGTGGACTATCCCTATCTCTCATTTCATGTCTTTTTTTAAACTAATTTTACCATAACAGATGATAAAAAACACTAAATACTTTTAGACTTTAATGATGGGAGAAATTTTTTTTTTTTAATTATTAATTGAGCTTAATTTTACATTAAAAAAAACGTGCTGTAGATATAGCTTTGAATGTGTTCTGAGTGAAAAAAGATGAATGAATCATGAATCATAATTATGAGGATCATGAATCTTGTCGAATATGGTACCCGAATGCAATTTCTATCAAAAATATTTAAACGTAAACTAATGACCAACTATGGTCAGAATCCATGTAATTGAATGTAAAAAAAATTGTGCAATGTAACAACATATGCCATGTCTTAGTAAGTGGTTAAAAATGGATCCACAATCCACTTACCAATAGTGTGGAAGATACTCCCAACTTTATAAATGGTGCCATGCCAAGAATTGAGGGCTTTGCTTGCCTGTGTGGCCACTTCATGCTAGAATAGACACATACAAATTTGTCACTGTGAGATCATGTAAAACAAATACGATTTAGAAGAAAACCAAGGAGCTTTATGGATGTAGATTTCTTAACCAGTTCAGGCTGGTCAGGGGCATTTGTGCCATTGAAGCCATAGGGATACATTAAGAGCTGAGAGTAAGCATGGATGGTCATGAACGATTTGAAGTTGCCGTGGCTTGTGATGAAGTCCGCAATGTTTTTCACTTCAATCTCAGATTGAGCAGAAGGACCACGATAGTCTTCGCCGCAGGGGTCATCGCTTGCTCCAGGACCTGGAGAAAATGTAGAGACATTTAAAAAGGTAAAGTAATTTGAATCTGTTTCCACATAAAACAGTATGAACAGTGTGAACATACCACTAAATTCAGCATCCCAGTTTCTGTTGAGGTCAACACCAAAGCACTTGGGGTTAGAGGTCGCAGACCGGCTCTTACGCCACAAACGGTGAATTGGCTGAGGTAATGTTAATTAGTAATGTCATTATGAATGCTTTTGAACGTAATTTACGCAAACAAAGAATGACTGCTTACACGTTCAGTGAGGTGGGAGAAAACATATCCATCAGGATTGGCCACAATCATCAGGAAAATGTCCATTTTACTAAGGATACTGGGCACAGGAGCACGGTTTTCCTTAAAGTCTATGGCAATCTAGAGAGTCAGAAGTATCAGGAGAGAATATTAAAAATATATATATATTTTATAGGTTTATCAGTTTTGTTTGTATCTGCAAGTTCTAAGCTATTTTATGGTTCCTTTAGACTATTATAGTAAATTGTTACCACATTGGCCAAACATTCAAACACTTGCTTATTTTGAAGTATTTTTTCTAATAATGATCTAAATGCTGTTATAAACTCACCCTGTCAGCAATCCACACTGCTGAAGCATGAGATACCCACTCCCTGGCATGGATTCCAGCATCAATCCAGACTGCAGGCCTTTTCTCTCCACCAGTGCTGAACTGGACACATTGAAAATATATAACAAATCAAATAAATATACATACATAACTAAATATCAGTCTGTATTCTGTGTTTATGATGTCTATTCACCTTCAAGGCATACATAGGACGGTTCTCATAAGTGTTGCCGATCTTCACTTTAGAGATCAGGTTAGGATGACTCGCAACAAGGCTGTCCATAAAACTATAAATCTGAAGTGAATAAAAACTTTTAGATGTTTTGTTTTGGTTTGAAATGTATGATATAATGTATTTTTTCTGAAGTCAGCATCCTTACAGTCTCTAGGTTGTGATAAGCAGCAAAGTTGAAGCTCTTGGTCTTGTATTTCATCTCTGCATTCATTACCATCTCTGCTCTCTCCCTGTCCAAAAGTTCCTGAGACACAGTTAAAACTTGTGTATTACAAATACTTTACTGAAAGAAAGAAAAAAATTACAAGACTTCCTTAACTATTGGGATTTATTGGAATTAAATCAATAACCGATTAAATTGTGCAAGACTTTCAATGTCTTTTTTTAGATTTTTGCAACTTGCCTGCACATTGTTGATCATGACAGTGAAAGTGATGTTGTTTCCCCTGAGGAAGTCCTTGACGGCATTCAGACTGGTGTGAGGCACACGGATGTCAACTGGCCGTTCAGTAGAGAAGCCATGGGTCCAGAAATCCAGCTATAAGGTCACATAAAATATATTTTCATGTCATATTGCATATGTGATCAGGTGACCAATAAAGAATCCCTTACCCCCCAATCCAGGTTCTTTTCCAGTTCCTTCAAAACCTGAATGTGGTCTTCAGATTCTGCCTGGATTCTGAGAACTTGGTCTCTATCAAAAATAAAAAAGATACTTAGGACATTTTGAAGAAGAAACAAGGCTGACAAATGGCAACAAGTATCTGAACTTACCCATTAAGGAGCTCCTCGCAGTGAACTGCGGCCAGGAGCGCAAAGAGAGCTAGATAGAGTCTCATCTTCTCTGGGAATGATCTCTACCGTAGGTCTGTTTTATGAATTGTTGCTCTTATACACTCAGAGACACATGTTGATTTCTCATTGATTTCAGTGCCAGTTAATATTCTACTAATGTTCTACTTCGCCATCATTGAGTCCTATGCTTATCTAATCTATATCTGTCTGGTTTGGTTTAGCTTCCAAATCAGACATTAGGAGTCGGAGACTACAACATGCAGTCAGGATGGTTAAGAAGATTATTGGTTCCCACCTGCTCAACCCCTAAGATCTTTATACCTCCAGAGTGAGAAAAAGGGCTAAGAAAACCACTTTGTGATCCCACACACCCAGCCCACATTCTGTTTGAACTGATCAACGAGCACTAGAACAGTTTTCCCTCATGCTATATTCAGTCTGAACAGTTAAAACTCTTCTAAATGTCTATTATAATTATCCATTTGTACATAACATCTCAAAATTGTACATCTGTAAATATTATTTTTGATATATTTCTATTACTTTGAAATATTGCATAATTTAAATGTTGTTATATATTATTTGTTATATATCGTTTAATCTTTATTGTGTAATTCTTATGGATGTCTGCACCTACTGTCCTTCAACACTGGAAGCTCTAATCAACTCACATGAAATCCACTATAGAATGCAAGATTGACAATTAAACATTGACAATTAAATGTTATATTAGCCTTTAAGAAGTCACATTTGGCCCAACAGAGTTGCCTGTAGTAAACAAAAACAATATAATAATACTTGGTTGCGGGCATTTACCGATAATATGATTAAAGATAGTTTTTCCACAATTATAATCTTTTCAATAATTAACTAGCTGCTACTTAGTGCACGAAAGTCATTTTAAAGTGTTAAGTTTACAAACAAGTACATGAAAAGTGGGCGGAGTCTTACCTCGGACATGACGTTTCAAATCACGCGACGCCTTCACCCATGTCAGCTGACGTTTGACGGAACTGTACTTTAGTGTTGCTGCAGATTTCACTCATATAGCTGAAGTATTTATTAATAGTTGGATTAGAAGTTCTGAAGTTATTATTCAATCTTTTCCTTGATAAATCCCTCTACAGATCGCAGTCAGTGCCTTAAAAACAACTTTAAAACATGGCGCTCAGCGATGCCGCGGTACAGAAACAGGTGAGAAAACCAGTTAACGTTAGCTAACAAGTTTATAAACTACTTTTAAGTTCTATTTTTAAACGAGGTAACGTTATTATATTTAAGATCAGTTAAGTATATAAATCTAATAAGTATAACTTTTAAAAAGAAAAATGGCAGCCACAAAATTGTGGTTCGTTGTTTTGAACAAATATCCAGGCTTATTATGCTCATAAACAAACATTTTTAATTTATATATTGTCGTTTGTATTTTATGAAGACGTTTTCTTAGTGTTTTGAAAGGCGCCTATAACGAAAGCATTGTTATTTATTATTTTATTTTGTACTTGAAGTTGTTGTATGAAATATCCCATTCACTTTGAGGAGAGTATGTGCACTTTATTAAATCTAGATGTTATTAATTAATATACTGTGAGTGTTTAATGCTGTGAATTGTAATGGCTAAAGAGTAAATCTGTCCTTCAGTTGTCCAGAGCAGCTCAATGGACTTTCCCAGCTGCACCGATTCAACACTTCTTTCAGTCTCGCTTCCCCATCAGTTTCTACCCTCGTCTCTTTTTATTTCATTACATCAGCTTAATAAAGGATCAGTGGTTCTTCAATTCTTACATTGTAATTTAACCTTGCTTTGCTCTTTCATTGACACTGATCTCATTGCATCTCTCCAGATCAAACACATGATGGCCTTTATTGAGCAGGAAGCCAATGAGAAGGCAGAAGAAATTGATGCAAAGGTAGCACAAATCCAATGATTAGCATAAGTGCATAAATATGGTCGAATCTGTCTAGAGCATTATCGTCTATTAATTTTCCTTAAATATCTGCTTTAAGTCATGTGCATTGTGGCTTGCAGGCAGAAGAAGAGTTTAATATCGAAAAGGGACGACTGGTACAGACTCAAAGGTTGAAGATAATGGAGTACTATGAGAAGAAAGAGAAACAGATTGAACAACAGAAGAAAATGTGAGTAAAAGTTCTTTAAATGTGTAACCTTGAGTCCTTCATTGGCGTATTTAATGTGTCCATTCAAATCCACAGCCAGATGTCAAATTTGTTGAACCAGGCAAGACTGAAGGTGCTCAAAGCCCGTGATGACATGATTAAGGTATGATGATAATGATGTGATATTTATATTGTCTATATTTTTATAGAACTACAAGAAATCCATCTCTTTCTCATCTTCCTCATGTGATTCTTTGCAGGATCTGCTAAACGATGCACAACAACGGTTGGCCAACATAGCCCAAGACCCAAATCAGTACCCAGCACTGCTGGAGGGGCTGGTGTTACAGGTCAGATATGGTCCTGTTAGCAATGCTAGCTTTTTAAAAAATAGTTTGTAAAGCAAATTCTGATGACTATTATTATTATTATTTCAGCACTATTGAGACACTGGTGAGTGTTGCTCACCAAGTCACTTGGCAGATTTTCTATGGCTAATAGACACTGAATATTTATATAATAACAAACTATATATGTATATATTACTTGCTACTTCATTTATATTTATATAAAATAAATTGAAATCTATTTGTGATATTATTTATAATTTAGTATTATGTTATATTTAGTTTACATGTAGTTATATCAACATATATGTGTCAGGGTTATTATTACCCTATTATTAAGCTATAAAAAATCATTGCTTGAAATAAACATTAACTTAAGTAAAAAATAAAAAACTTAAGTTATTTCCTCAACTAGTTTTACATTTTATTTAAACTACATAAACTAAAAGTTAAAACTATACAGACATTTCCTAAAAACTAATAAAAAGACAAACACAAAACAATACAACAACTGTAACTTGAATTAAGATGAAAACAGAAAATAAAAATAATGTAACTCTAACTTAGCAAAGAATGTAATAGTATATCAATGATTTATATATATATATATATATATATACAGTGCCTTGCAAAAGTATTTGGCCCCCTTTAACTTTTCGACCTTTTGCCACATTTCAGGCTGCAAACATAAAGATGTAAAACTGTAATTTTTTGTGAAGAATCAACAAAAGGTGGGACAAAATCATGAAGTGGAACGAAATTTATTGGGTATTTCAAACTTTTTTAACAAATAAAAAACTGAAAAATTGGGTGAGCAAAATTATTCAGCCCCTTTACTTTCAGTGCAGCAAACTCTCTCCAGAAGTTCAGTGAGGATCTCTGAATGATCCTGAATGTTGACCTAAATGACTAATGATGATAAATAGAATCCTGTGTGTAATAAAGTCTCCGTATAAATGCACCTGCTCTGTGATAGTCTCAGAGGTCCGTTTAAAGCACAGAGAGCATCATGAAGAACAAGGAACACACCAGGCAGGTCCGAGATACTGTTGTGGAGAAGTTTAAAGCTGGATCTGGATACAGAAAGATTTCCCAAGCTTTAAACATTCCAAGGAGCACTGTGCAAGCAATAATATTGAAATGGAAGGAGTATCAGACCACTGCAAATCTACCAAGACCTGGCCGTCCCTCTAAACTTTCAGCTCATACAAGGAGAAGACTAATCAGAGATGCAGCCAAGAGGCCCATGATCACTCTGGATGAGCTGCAGAGATCTACAGCTGAGGTGGGAGACTCTGTCCATAGGACAACAATGGTCGTATGCTGCACAAATCTGGCCTTTATGGAAGAGTGGCAAGAAGAATGCCATTTCTTAAAGAGATCCATAAAAAGTGTCGTTTAAAGTTTGCCACAAGCCACCTGGGAGACACACCAAACATGTGGAAGAAGGTGCTCGAACTTTTTGGCAACAATGCAAAACGTTATGTTTGGCGTAAAAGCAACACAGCTCATCACCCTGAACACACCATCCACACTGTCAAACATGGTGGTGCCAGCATCATGGTTTGGGCCTGCTTTTCTTCAGCAGGGACAGGGAAAATGGTTCAAATTGATGGGAAGATGGATGGAGCCAAATACAGGACCATTCTGGAAGAAAACCTGATGGAGTCTGCAAAAGACCTGAGACTGGGACGGAGATTTGTCTTCCAACAAGACAATGATCCAAAACATAAAGCAAAATCTACAATGGAATGGTTCACAAATAAACATATCCAGGTGTTAGAATGGCCAAGTCAAAGTCCATACCTTAATTTAATCGAGAATCTGTGGAAAGAACTGAAAACTGCTGTTCACAAACGCTCTCCATCCAACCTCACTGAGCTCGAACTGTTTTGCAAGGAGGAATGGGCAAAAATTTCAGTCTCTCGATGTGCAAAACTGATTGAGACATACCCCAAGCGACTTACAGCTGTAATCGCAGCAAAAGGTGGCGCTACAAAGTATTAACTTAAGGGGGCTGAATAATTTTGCTCGCCCAAGTTTTCAGTTTTTTATTTGTTAAAAAAGTTTGAAATATCCAATAAATTTCGTTCCACTTCATGATTGTGTCCCACCGGTTGTTGATTCTTCACAAAAAATTAAAGTTTTATATCTTTATGTTTGCAGCCTGAAATGTGGCAAAAGGTCAAAAATTTCAAGGGGGCCGAATACTTTCGCAAGGCACTGTATATATAGGTGTATATATATATATACATGCGTACATACATACACACTGTATATATACATGTAGAATTATTATTTTATTAATCTTTTATTGCTATTATTAATAAAATAATAGTGTATTTTATTCACTTTTTTTTCTCTTTTTGCTTCGGTAGGGATTTTATCAGCTGCTGGAGCCCAGGGTTATAATCCGGTGCAGAAAGCAAGATGTAGCGATGGTGCAGGTGAGCTCCATTCCCTGTCTATCCATTTGCATAATATTTTACAAATTGCATATCAGCTATGCAAACCGTTTAAACTTTTAAAGAGGTTGATATACCTGTTTATTTTAGGCTGCTGTTCAGAAAAACATCCCTATCTACAAAGAGGCTGTAAAGAGTAATATTGAGGTGCGCATCGACGAAAACAACTTCCTGTCCCCTAACATGTAAGATCTCTTCCACAGTTTTCCTAAAAAAAACTGGCTCATTTATATATTCTCAACTTGTTCATTGTTCATGCTTGGCATCCTCAGTTCAGGAGGTGTTGAAGTTTATAACGCTGATGGCAAGATCAAGGTGTCCAACACACTAGAAAGCAGACTAGACCTTCTGGCGGAACAGGTATAGAAAACAATCACATTTTACAGCAGGAATAAACAGTATAAAAGCTTGTTTTTGTGAATGTCGTCTTCATCATTTTTTCTGCTTTCACAGATGATGCCTGAGATCAGAGTGACTCTGTTTGGTGCCAACCCAAACCGCAGGTTTATGGATTAATGGACTGTTAATAACACACATTAGTGGTAGTTGGGAGAACGGTGAAATTCAGAAAACATGATAAAGTGATGAGGAGGCAATTTTATTTTTTGAAGGTCACTGTGGTTTTTCAGAAGTGAAAAACTATTCTGGTTGCAATTGATCATGTTCCAGCAATTTATTATTGTGCTCTTATTCTTGTGTGTTTTTGCTCTTGGAAAACAAGCCCAAAGAAAGTATTTAAGGCTTATCATATTTACTCGTGTTACCTTATATCTCTGTGTTTTAGCGTCACTGGTGGGGAAAATGGATACCTGACATCTTATCTTAAGCTGTTTGAACAAAAAGCCATAAGCACTCAGGAATTTTACATTGTTTTTGCCTTGAAAGCTATTATCTAAATCTAAGCAGCCTAACAGGTTTTCCCTGGAAAAGGAAAGTCCTCATTTAATGTCTTAAAAACATAGATGCCTTTGTGTTTGTTTTTTCCTGCATTTTCATGTGTAGTACAATTGCATAATACTACAGATAAATAAATCAAATATATTTTATTTATGTTCTGAAGCATTTCTGTGCCCATTACAATATAAACAAAGCATCGCTTGTTGGTTACACTTTACCCACCGTTCAGGAAAGAAATCAAGTCGTACATCTGACAGAGGGTTACAGAAAAATACCTCAAATATTAAAAACACGCTGTCGCCTTGTGGAAATCAGACATATCAAATGCAAATTAGCATCGGTTGTGGTGCATGTTTTACATAATCAAATGACTCCAGACCATGTTTTCAAAAAGACTTTAAAATACAAAGGCTGATGAATAAACTGAATAAGCAGAGACACATAGCCTATATCAGTCTTGCATATTTAAAATGTACAGATTGCTTGTTGCTTATCAAAATTATTCAGTATAACATGAATATGAAGACTGTTTTTTCTTTCTTTCTAAAAAATCAGGTTTTGCCTTCCAAGGCATCTATAAAATGCTTGTTATTGTTATAATACTGTATTTTAAATTGAAATATCTTGAAAAATTAAACTACTCAAGACCTCATTTCTCTATACGTTTCACTGTATTCTTTCTTACTCAAGGCGAAATATATATATATAACACTTTAAAATCCACTGGTAATTTATATTACGTTTTGTTATTTTTTTTTAGTGAAAAACTTGAGTGGCAAGAATAAGGCTTTTTAATTTAATGCGCACTCAACAAAATAATTTAAAAAATATCATGCCAACATTATAGCCTATAGGAATTCTGTCTCACAGAGGAACATGTAACAGGAAGACAATCCCAGCAGTCTCTTCAGATTTATTGAGAGACAAGAATTAAATTAGGTCAACAGACCCTGCAAACTGTTTTTGAGTTTTTTGCTGTTTAAAGGGGTGGGAATTAGGACAATTTGGTAGTTCTCAATCCATTTAAACTTTAATTAAAGTCTCCCTTCAATCTAAATACACATCGAACCTGTTTACAACAGATCGATCAATCCTGAAACATGTTGGTTTAATACTGATTGTAACTGGGCTTTAAGACATAAAAATAATCACCCTTCCAGGACCCTGTCTTACCTAAAGAACCCTGTTTGCAGTTTTAGGTAGCATACTTGGTTAGTGTGCAATACAGGCTTTTATGTTAGCATTACACAACCCTCCTCTGTTCTTCCAAAGGGTCTGAACTTCCTTTGGTTGGGTACATGAATTTCTCTCCATCATTACCTTTTCGTAAATAAAGTCTGGAACCTTCTTTTGTTCACTGTCACAACTTCCTTCATCTCTCATCGTCATCTCGTGGCCCGTGTAGAAACAGTAATGTGTGTATGATGATTAAGGTGACATCACCTGCTGCTATCCCAGCAGGCCCAGCAGGTGCTCGCCGAGGCCCAGGAAGTACACGCCCTGAGCGATGCCAAAGAGCGGAGCGATGACCAAAGCACGACACGTTGCTCCCTTGAGAAACGCGCTTGGTCCCTCTCGTTTTAAAATGCGTCTGTGAAAAGAAAAAAAAGTTGCCATTTAAAATGTCATGAATATGCTAATTATTTATGTCATACATGTCAATAAAAAGCTTACTGTGTGCAATCAATGATGCCTTTATAGGAGTCTTCTCCCTCTCCCTTCTGTAAGGTCTGTAGGCGGGTCTTTATAACTGAAAATAATAAGCATTAATCGATATTAAAAACAGATTTGGATGGATCTATGCCTTGTGCTGAAAGTGGAAATTACTATTTTAATTTCTCAGATGCAGGCTATACAGCTGTTCAGTAGTTAGTCTGACTCGTTTCCATGTATTGGCTCTTCAAAAAACGATTCAGCGATTCGTCATGATGTCATTAAGTCACAAGTGGTCACTGACATACTGCATTCTATAAAACAACATACAACTTATTGTATTTTTTAAGATTGAATTATTCTCAAAAACCTTGCTAATTGTTTATTTATGCAAAATTTTATATAAGAACTTTCTCTGAAACATTATAATAAAGCCACAAGTAGAATATCTTGATTATGTTCTATTAGTAAATTTTTATTATAATTTAATGTGTTCAAGTTCAGTTTATTTCCACATGATTCACTTTATTTTAAAAAAAGTAACGATTTTCATGATTTGTTATCACAACTTTTTATCTTTTGTCAAATCAACTTAAATATTTAATGCGGTTCAGATAACTTAATATTTGACTTTCTATTTATTAAACCAATCTCCTTTATTGTATTAACTCAAATTTTTAATTTCAATGAACTAAAAATTAAGGTAACCAGATAACATACTTTTTGTAAGTTTAACCACAATAAACAATAAATGAACAAATAAAATAAAAATAAAATAAAATAACTAGATCTGTTTGTTGACTTAAGAACTGCTCTGGTTAATTCAGATTTAAGTCATGACAACATATGTTTTAACATTACTTTAAGTTAAAAAAAACTTATTTAGATTCAACTAATTTTTTTAAAAGTCACTTTAATTTTTGAAGTTGAAATGACTTATACAGCAAAGTTGATTGTACTTAAAAATTTAAGGCAGCTGCCTTTTTTTGACAGTAGGGATCGCCAACAGATTCAAGGTTTTTTAAATGTTAGTTAAGCGATAGGTAAATGTTTCTGCACTTTAAATCAGGTTCGGTGTGTTTACTGTAACATAATATATGCTCCACTTGAATAATGAACAGATGAAAAACTAGGTTATCGGTTTCCTATGAGTCTATTTGTAATGTTGTAATGTTTCAGAGAGTACTGCCAAATCTTCAGATGGAGACACTGCAGTGACAGTGTCAGTTTCTACTGTCCAAATAAACCTACTGCTTTTTTTAGTCAACAAAGAACTCACAATACAATAGACATAAGAGACAAGAACTATAAACAAAAAGCTTTCTAAATAGAATTGACACACAAACTTAACAGACTTTCTTCAAAGCAAATGAAATGTTTCAGTCTACTCTACACATCACATGGGGTTTAATAATTAATCACTCGGAAACAAAAGACTCATTCTGTGCCTTTATGAAATACTTGGAGTGAACTAGTTATTCAACAGTGTGGCACAAATGTACCAATAATTCATCACAAAACAAAAAGGCTCTTTTTAAGATCTGATTCCTTTAAATCTCCAGTACTAGAAGTAATAAGTATTTCTTTGAAGAACTGCTCCTTTTTGTCAAGAAACGATTGAAGTACAAAAATAAATGTATATGCATATACAACATTTTATATATAATATCTATTGTTATTGAAATAAAGCCACACAAAATCTATATCAATTGTCTAGCAACAGTTTCTCAGCAGCGCAGTAGCATCGAAACAGGATTAGCAGTGGTTTTAACAGGCTTCGAACTGAACGGGACATTTATCAGCATCATTTCAAAAGGAGAGAGAGCAAATTGTGTTCCTCTACTCCTCTCTTGCCTGTATCTCACCGTCCAGAGGAGTGACAGCTACCGCCGCCACCGAGCCGGCCGTGCAACCAGCCACGAAAGACTGCAGGAAGGGGGCCCGATCCTGGGGGTTGCTATGGCGATCCTCAGTGCGGCCCACAACGTTGAGGTTGGCGAACAGCGGGAAGTAGATCATGGAGAACGGAACGTCCCTGAACAGAGAAAGGACATAGAGCTGTAGAATGCAGACATGGCTGCAGGACGCTATTGATGAATCGTTATCGATCACTGTGCCTGATTACTTTTAGTCTGTAAATGTGAAATGTGAAATGTGAAACGTGAAACGATGAATGGAGAAATATGATTTAGGCCGTGTAGGCCGTAGACGAGAGACAACAGATTGAGATAGATCGAGCTCTCGGTAGAATGCCATTAAGAAGAGAATTCTGCCTACGGTTAATTAGAAGCTATGAATAACAGATCAGAACTGACAGCTGGCGGGTTACATCAGTTCAGCTGGGATTACATCACAGACTGCAGGGATCCTGTGGGGGAGGGGCTGTTTGGATAGGTGAGTGGGCGGTGTTAAAGGTGAGAGGCCACCGTGCCGTCTATCCATCTTTCTGTCCTGAAGCAGTGTGAGCGTTTGCAGAGAGAGCAATCACTTAAGTTAGTTAAGACAACACGTCACTGAGGGTTTGCAAAAGGTCTTCTTTTACATTACAATATAATGAAAGTGAATGAGCCCTAAAAACAAATACCAAATAATAGAATAAAAAGGGTCCTTATATCTCATGTATACTCCAAGTTATAATATTGATTTGTTTGATGAGCAAACCAAAATTTAGATAGATACTCATTTAAAATCCTGAGTAGAGATGCCCAATTCATGATTTAAGGCCCATTCACACCAAGGACGAAAACTAAAACTATACATTTTCAATAATCTCATTCTATGAGAAATGAAAAATCCACACCACAACTAAAACTATACCAACACAGAGGAATTATATCATTGGAATCACTTTTAGAATGATAAATGATGAATGATAATAACATAGACAGCCAATCTACTCAGCGTTAAAGGATTAGTTCACTTTTGAAAAAACTTTTGCTGATAATTTACTCACCCCCATGTCATCCAAGATTTCCATGTCTTTCTTTCTTCAGTCGAAAAGAAATTTAGGTTTTTGATGAAAACATTCCAGGATTTTTCTCCATATAATGGACTTCAATGGGAACCGGATGGTTCAAGGTCCAAAAGACAGTTAATAACTGTTTCAGATGCAGCTTCAAATGTCTTTAAACGACGCCAGACGATGAATAAGGGTCTTATCATGCCAAACGATCGGTTATCTCAAAACTTATTCCAAAAATGTAACTTTTCTAAGGACAAATGCTAGCCTTGCTCTATTCTGTGAGGCGCATTTGCAACGTCACGTATTACGTAATTACGTTCAAAAGGTCACGGCGACGTAGCCGAAAGTACAGAGTCAGTGTTTACAAGTTGAACGCATAGGTTGAACGTGCAAACTAGCTCAAACACCGTTTACAAAAAAAGGAATTAAAAGGAAAAACAACGATGTCGGACGATTTTGATTCTGTACTTCCGGCTACGTCGCCCGTGACCTTTTGAACGTAATTACGTATTACGTGACGTTACAAACGCGCCTCAGAGAATATAGCAAGGCTAGCATTTGTCCTTAGAAAAGTTACATTTTTGGAATAAGTTTTGAAATAACCGATCGTTTCGCATGATAAGACCCTTATTCATTGTCTGATATCGTTTAAAGACATTTGAAGCTGCATCTGAAACTGTTATTAACTGTCTTTTGGACCCTGAACCATCCAGTTCCCATTGAAGTCCATTATATGGAGAAAAATCCTGGAATGTTTTCATCAAAAACCTAAATTTCTTTTCGACTGAGGAAAGAAAGACATGGACATCTTGGATGACATGGGGGTGAGTAAATTATCAGCAAAAGTTTTTTTCAAAAGTGAACTAATCCTTTAAAGAGCTCGAGCATTTAAAGTGACAGACAACACATAACTATATTGGTGGATGCTAATATAACTTTATAGTTTTTGTTCAGCGTATGAACAGGCTTTTAAAGTCACCATGAAATCAAAATTGACTATTTAAATGTTGTTATGGAATATTTTATGTTAATTTAAAAGTGATTACACATCATCATTTTTTTTAAATAATCGTAATCACAAACAACAACAATACGATACATTTCCAATGGATGCAATTTAATCCCGCCCTACATTTCTTCTTGTTCGAGAAGTTGTTTCACTTGGATTTACGTCACAATAGGAAAGAAAAGATGATACACTTCCTTTAAATTTCCATTTAAGGCCAATTTGAATTGTTATTTTTACTCCACACAGAGATACCGTTTTTATTAACGAAAAATACGTTTTTTGAAATCACTCTCCAAAGTGGATCAATTTGAAAATGCTGTTTTCGCGTTGTAGTGTGGACAGTAAAAATAGAGGTATCTGAAACCGATGATGCGTGTGTAGTCATGTGACGCATATTATACTGATAGATTTTCATGTTTATACCGGTATTGTTATGTGCTAAAGATATGTTACTTTGCACACTCTTCATACCACAGTCCTGCAAAGATGAAGAGAAGCAAAACATGAGAGAAGTTGCGTTTTCGTGAATGGAGAGATATTTTGCTAAACAAAATGATCCTGTCAGAAGAGTGTGATAACTTTATGATGTCATATTATGTTATGTATCATCTAATTGAGCTTTTATAAGGCTTTACGCATGCTCAGCGAGGTGAAGGAAGCATTTTCACAATGTTACAGTGTGGATGAGAAACTTCTGAAAACGCTTGAAGATGCTAGTAAGGACGGAAAGCACTTTGAAACGAAAACGCCATTTTCAAATGTATGCAGATTAATGAAGACGTAACCCTAATTTGCTTTATAGACCATATTCCTATTTGTTTATATTGCTGATTGTGTCTTACCTCATCAGTGTAGCACCTGCACCCTTATAAAGACCCCTGAGGCCTCGGGTCTTGAGTAGCTCCAGGGTGATGCGAGTCGCTGAGGCTCGAGGAGGGGCGTTGGTGCCTGGCTGGGCCGTCTGAGAGGCCACAAGCGAGGGAGTCGGAGCAGGGGCAGAGGCAGTGACAGTCCGCTGAGCAGCTTGTAAAGACAAAAATGGACCGGTTACAACTCATTTTTTTTTTAATCCAACCGTTTTTATCCACAGAAGTTTGGAGAAACTGCTATTTGGTTGACACCATTCAACTCAAACAGCTTCTATTTTTTCAGGGCTAACCTTTGTTCTACTCATCCTAAGATAGAGACCTACATACCTCGGATGACACTCATGGGAGCATAATAAACACACTTACCCAACCTGCCAGCATCCTGCAGTTGTATTTTTAGCATTTCCATGGGGGTGGTGACTACCACCTGACAGGTCCCGGCCCCACAGCCAGCAAGGATTTCCCCCCACAGTGGTAATTTTCTATGGGTGACAGATACAATGACAGATGGGGCAGATGAGATCATTATTGCATTTACCAAGTAAATAAGTGGTCCAATTAGTCAGCTGGTGACCTAAATGCCTCTGTGGAAGCAGAAAATGTTTTCATTTAGGTAAATACTGTATTCAAAGGTTAAATGTGTTGTTAGGGTTGGGATATGATCTTTATTCACAACAGATTTGATAAAATCTAAAAGTACTGGAAGTTCCGTTAATGGTTCTCACTTGTGCATTCTGAATACATGGTAAAATACTGACAGAGTTCTATATACTGCTTTCCTTACACCGCTACTGAATCCATATCACACAACAGACGGCCAATGAAGTCCGATTACAGAACGAATCTAATGAGGAATCTAATCAGGAAGTTCAACATTTCTCCTTTTGTGTTCCACAGTAGAATGAAAGTCATACAGTTTTGGAACAACATGAAGGTTAGTAAGTAATTGATGACAGAATGTTCATTTTTAGGTGAATTATTCCATTATTTCATGAAAACTTCAAAAATATTCCTTAAAGGTACACTAAGTAACTTTTTTTGTTTGTTCAAAATGAGTCAATACATCAATCCTTCTTCCAAAACATCTTTTTGTCTTACCCTGATTCACTATGGTAAGCCATAGTGATAATATTTAGCCAATAAATGTTTATATTTAAGGCCTAGCGGGATGGTTTTGGTGGGAAATTGCGTACATACTGTACGTCCCTCGCCCGTGCATGTCTCTCATTGTATCTGTAAATAGAGAAAAGTTGCTCCGGCTTACTTGACGCATGTATGGGGTAAAAGTGGCACAGGTTAGTTGTCACAATGAGCAAGAAAGGTTGACATGGAGCAGCTAAATCGCAAACCTCTGGGGAATCACCCATTTTAACAAACGCCAAACAGAGGAGAATCTGCTGGCGAAAAGAGAAAGCTTCAGAGCTCGTAATAAAACAAAAATCAACATAGGCTTGGCTTTTAGTGAAATGGCAAGAACTGACTCTGAGGGATTGAAAATGCTGTAAAAAGTGATGCGGAGATGCAGTTTTTATTACTCAACAGGTGAGTAAGGTTGGTATTTTATTGAACAGCCATATGTATCTCCCAAACAAAGTTAATTGTGAAGCATTAAGTATCTGTATTTATTACAGGTTTTGGTAGTGCTGTGCTGGAATTTATTTTGAAGGAAGTAACATGTTTATTGATAGCTATACTGTAGCTACAGTCTTCACCGAGTCAGCTTGAGATCCTTTCCATCGAATCCAGTTATATTTCTTAGTTATAAGCCTAGTAGTGAATGTTTTATAAACAGTAACAATATTCATCCACAAAGTCACGCAACGTTCTTCTGCAAATCCATGCAGTTTTTCTTTTTAAACCGGCCAAAAATTACATAGTGAACCCAAGAGTTGGTTCTTTTCATATGAATCAGAAACATGAAACCAGTGTGGTTCAACTCCTAAACAAATGAGTCTATTGGGTCAGTTCTTTTTCAGTGAATCTAAACCATGTAGCGCAACCACTTGCGGTCACGATTCCAGAACAAATGAGATTTAATCACAGTACAAGCATACTGCTTACAACTTCTGTATGTTTAACCCAGTTTAAGATGCACAGGCAACTAAATACTTTGAAGCTGTTCGAAACGATCAAAACCAGACAGAATAAACCAATAGCAATACATTTTGGGCATGTTAAAATAAGTATAATAAGTAGCTTTGCTTTTGTAAATGGTTAACAAGTGGCCGTTACCCATCTTTGGAGAGCTTCTGTCTAAAGACATCATTGGCAGCCAGTTTGATGGCTTTCTCTGGAGTGACGAGTGTAAGATTCACAGCTGCACCTGAGAGAAACACCATGAAATGTCATTCTGAGAAAGCGACATATCCCACAGCACTATAACAATTGAAACTATTAATGTCACTCTTTTCAATAACACCATGAACATTCATTGAGGTGGTTTTTAATTTGATTTTAACGTTGAAACAAACCAAAATTGGCACTAGATAAGATAGAAACACTGTACCTCGATACATGCCAAAGTAGCCCTCCATTTTGATCGTCTTTGCCAAACAGTCCAGCCTTCATAACAAGACAGAAAAGTTCAATATGATCGATCAAATATTATAATCTGGTTTTAAAATAAGCAAATCAAGCAAATTTCATGAAAATGCCCTACAATATTCTTGTTTGGCAAGTCGAATAAAGTAATGAGAATAAATGGTGGAAAATCTCTTAAACAACAGTAATAAACTTTTTTTATTGCTCTCCATGTCTGTGTATAACAAACAGCCAAACTAGACATTGACAAAAAAATCTTGGGGGAGGGAGTGAGTAATATGTGGAAAAAAGAGCTTAAAACATGGCAGCCTCTCTCTTGCCCACAAACCACTTGGGTATTATTCACTTGTTACATAAGTGTACAAAGAAGAAAAGAGCTCCTCACACACCATCACTACAAAGAGTCCTTCTCTTTATCTCAATGGTATCACACATGCATAAAGATACTGTATTTTTGAGCAAGCTACTTAAAAAGGAATGAAAAACATTTGGGAGCGTGTAGAGATCAAAGAAGCAAAAGCATGTGACTCAAGTTGTTTCGCATCATCTGAGTCATTTAAAATCCAGACAAAGTCCTCCGCCCAGAGTAAATCACTAACACATGCTGCCTTTGTGAATCAATTCATATAAACCTTAAGCAGTTGTTTTTTTAAAGAGGCATAACTGTTTGTATAGCCATTATAATAGTCTGATTTTTTTGTTTATTGATTCCTAAGATAAAATATCAAAAGGAAAACATAAGTTTGCAAATGTGTTTTATGTTTTGTATCATATTTGATAGATCAGGGTTTTATGGCTCATATGGTACGATATAGTGAAAATTTTCAGCTCATACCCGAGAATGAAAAACATAAATTCTATACAGAGGCCCAAACTCTGCAATTTAGTTGTTACTGATATTTATATGGCCAAAAAGTAAGATTGTGATCATTTGTAAGGTAAATCAATGATATCGTTATAAAACAGTAGTATAGCAGATTACTTGCATAAATGCCTGTAAATATCAGTTGTCATCTCCAAATAATATGTCTATAGACCATTTCACAAGATGTAAACAATACTGGTCCAGAAGCACTTCCTGTTTCAGCTTGTAACTGTTTTCTTTATTTCACATGTAAAGAAAACATCTTAAAGATGTTTGTTTAACTTTTTGATTCAGTTTCAAATGTTCTGTTGGTTGTATTTTATCCCAGCTTTTATATAGTGTTAAAAAACTGAAACATGAAGTGCTTCTGGACCAGTGTTGTTTACATCTTGTGAAATGGTCTATATATTTAAATTCTTAGTTTAATGATTAAAGCTCTGTAGTTTTTCCTGTGGCTGCAAAACATATAACGCAATGCAATATACAATGATGATTGAGAAATGTACAAATTAATGTTCCTAAAAGGCCTGTTGTATCATATTTGATACTTACATTTGAACTAGGGCTGAATAGGTCAAAATAAAAGTTTGTGTTTACTTAATATATGTGGGTGCACTGTGAATAATTATTTTATATATATAAATAGTAAATACACACACATGCTTGTATATATTTAAGAAATATTTTCATGAATATACTGTATAAAGATTTATATATAATTTATATTACATATAAATGTAAATATTTTATATATAAATAATATTTTTTTCCTAAATATATATGAATGTGTGTGTATTTATACTGTATATATACAAAATAATTATACACAGTGCACCCACATATATAATGTAAACAAAAACTTTTATTTTGGATGCGATTAATCACGATTAATCGTTTGACAGCCCTAATTTGAACATGATTTTTTTTCTAATAAGATGTATTGCTTCTGTCTAGTAAGTGTTCATCATAAAATATTACTACTAATAAAAAATCTAAACTACTTTTTAAAGAACAGTGAAGATTTCACAGCAAAAAGCCATGTATCCCAATAAAGGGGGATGTTTTTCAGCAAAGTTTTTCAGATATTCTTTTTCAGCAAAGTTTTGATGATGGTGATAATTTAGTTTTATGTTACACTCTTTGGTGAAAATATTCTACATGGAACCTTAAAAGGTTCTGTTGTGTGCTTCATATACTGCAGAACCATCATGGATTCACTTCATGGGATCATTTTATGGATTTAGTGGGAAAAAAGACTAAACCGTTAAACATAAAAATAAAAGTATTATGCAATCATTTAATCATTCTCCTTATATTCAGAGAATTTTAGCATAAAATTGAGTCAAGCACATTAGGGTTCTCTAGAAGCAAACTGAACCTTTTTCTAAGAGTGTAGGGTTTATAGGCTTAAAAAGGTTTAAGACAGAAAAACAGCTGCCATTTTGCACCTCTCACACATGCAATTATAATGACTGTTTCTCCAAAACCAATTGATCATCATCATATGCAAGTTGCACAGTTGGTTTTACTCTGGTCTCTCTCTAAGTCTCTCTAAGACCCCAAACAAAGTGCATGACATACAACGCATAGTTATGGGACTTCATAAAGATGTTGAACTCACATTCCACTATAAACACGAGCACCCTGCTGATTTTGTAAGCGGGTCTTGGCGAGATCAATGGGAAACACGCAGGTCACGCCCACCAGTCCAGCCACGCCCCCATTAATCAGCTTAGCAGGGAGGCTGTAAACACCAGGAAACAAACACGCACACAAAAACATGTCAATATAACGGTTTAAATGGATCTTAAACTGTACATCCACTATCAGAGGAAGTCGCAGATGTACCTCACTTTCTCGGCCATGGTGGCCACGCTTTAACTGTTTCCTCCAATTCTTCTCTCTCTGCGGCAAAAGTGTCAGCACAAACCTTCCACGGCCCACCCGGGCCAGCCTCCTAGAATGGTGTGCCAATCTTCACACCCTTCCTTTTGGGGAGAACAGCCACTCTTTTCTAAAAATAAATCACCTTGGAACTGGCTATTGACCAAGACACAAACAAGAGAAATACAATTCAGGATATCTGTGGTTGCAGAATGGCTTTACAGAATAACAACATGCTATATTTTTTAAACACACACACACACACACACACACAAAAAAAATTCAGTTGGTTTCAGAATCACTGATTTTACTTTGTGATGAATTGTGCTTTTCTTCAGCGCACAAATGGGAACATCCTCCCCACCTAAAGTCTCTCTAATCTTGTTGCTAATGAGGTTCTGACCTCTGAATTAACCTAGAGAAGCGAGCTAGCAGACGATTAGCTTAGCATGATTTTACTGTTCTTCAACACCGTATCAAAAAAATTGCCTGTGGAAAAATCAAAATATAGAAGTCTACAGTAGCTCAAACAATACTTCTATGCTCTCTAATACTAAAATAATCCAACTTTTACATTAGTATATCAGTGTAGTTGTGTTTTTAGTTTTCTAGAGTAAATGAAAAGTAGTGTAAACTTTATTTGGGTAGTTAACACATAAAATGTCCATGACCTTATTCAGCATTTTTCTGGTGAAAATGTACATATGTAGAAGGGAGTGTCTAATTATTCCTGTAAAAAGTTTTTCATCACATTTTAAATGGTCCTGCAGTTTGAGAAAGACTTTTAAATATTTCAAATATCCTCACAATTCATAAGAGGCCATAAAACTACATCCATAATAATTATAGAAGAGATTTTTTTTTGGTTTAAATTTGTGGATTAAAATATAAAGCATCGTTTCCCTGCTGAAAACACTTGAAATCTTGGGTTTAGGTTCATTAGTTAACATGAACTAAGAATGAACAATACTCCTACAGCATTAATTAATAATCGTTAATATTAGTTTCAACATTTCACTCAACTAATACATTATTCAAATCAAAGGTTGTTTTTGTTAACATTAGATTTCTAAAGCTAATATTTTAATTATGTCACTCTTTGTCTTGCTTTCTCCTTTCCCATCACTTGTCTTAAACTTCCCCTTGTGTAACCTTTCGGTTTCCACTAACCATTCTGACTTTACTCTATATCTCTTTTCCTCCGGCATACTCACATCCACCCTTTTCTCTGTCCCTCTCTCGCTCTGTCTTTTCTGGAGCCCAGTGGCATTCTGAGCATGCCTTTCCCTTCAGCACTGCTTTCTTTCAACTTTGGTCTATTCATACCCCTTCACTGCCAAAACACAGACGACGAGTGCGATCTGGCCCCCCTCTCCCCATCCTAAAGCGTTCCCTCACTAAGACTTTCCAACAACCCCCTCACACAAGCCTGCATATTTGACCAATTCACAAGTTAGAAACTCTGTTTGAGAGGATGATTATTATGTTCTTACCTCTGTCAATGCATTGACCGGTCAGATAAAGTCGTCCACTTCCCACTCAGCTCGCTGACTATGTGTGTATCAGCCGTAGTCAGGCGCAAGAGATCCGACAGAGCCGCCACTCAGGGGCCTTTGCACAAACACAAGCATTGTCTCTCCATGCCTAAGTCCCTCCCCCTTTGGCGACTCCCAGTGACATAAAAAGAGAATGCGCAGCTTTCCAGTAATTAAACTTGACACATTCACACATTTACACAGATATGCACTTTACAACTATTACAACACACTATATATATATATTTTTTTTCAAATTAACATTATTAGCCTATATTACAGTAAACATATATTTTTTTTAAAAAATGCATTTGCAATTTACAATGATTAACATATATTTCTTCCATTATTTACTAAACTCCCTAGACAGTTTCACAGCCCTTAACGACTACCAAATTAATGATATTAATGATCATTAAATTTGTCTTGCTGTAACCAACCAAGATGCCATAATTCACATGTTACAGTATTATGGTTAGCTACTGTGTGTGATTTTTTTTATTAAGCAGCCTTTGAGAAGGAACTATATATTGATTCAACGCAACAAATGTGAACCTGTTTTCAGAAATGAATGGTTTAACAAATATTTAAACAACGGCTATTTAGACGTTTAAGGTGATAGATAGATAGATAGATAGATAGATAGATAGATAGATAGATAGATAGATAGATAGATAGATAGATAGATAGATAGATAGATAGATAGATAGATAGATAGATAGATAGATAGATAGATAGATAGATAGATAGATAGATAGATAGATAGATAGATAGCAGTGTGTTTTATCTCTTCGTCTCAACAGGGGGCGCTGGGTCCATATTTTTAAGACCAATTTGTTATTCACACTATTTAAATTAATAATAAAAAGGTAGTCTTCAAACGCGTCCTCCTGCTTTTAGAATTAAAATGTGCCATTAATTCTTAGGACTTAAGACATTTTTTGTATAGGCCTATAGATTTTGCGCATTACAAATTAGGGTCAGTCAACTTTTGCAGGTTACAAACAACAGCCACTATAGAGAGCTAAGTTAATAACATGGACTTCATGGCATTATCATAATGATGCCTTCGTGTACGACAACAATAAAGAAGTTATTGTTCAGAATCAAACAAATAATTTATATTAAAAAAAAACTATTTAAATACAAAAATGTCAGTGTAATGTTTTATTATCAATATCATTCCTGTCGTACTCATCTCTTCCAGATCAAAAGCGAGGGTTCTACTGTAATAACAACAGAGCAACTTCCCTTTCAACGAAATTCAAATGTATGTGCATTCCCTTTAAATGAAGAAACCACTTCGAGCAGAGGTAAGACACCTGCCTTATAAACTGACTAACTGCGATGGTTTTCTTTTACAGTGACTAGATGAAGTCAAATAGTTAATAAACGAATGTAATAATGCCAATAGTGGTGATGGAAAAGATGTAATGAGGGTTTAATTTGATTTGTGTTGATATTTTATTTGTTTTGATGCGCGTAAACCCCCCTCCCCGTGACAAGTGGTAGCGCCCAGCCCATCTGTTCTTCTCCTGTGAAATGCGGATTGAAACAGATTGTACTACAACTCTACGGGTCGCAATGGCTGCTGCACCGCAAGGACAACAAGTTTTACTGTTCAGTTAAACAAGTTCTATGTGAGGAACACCTTGGACGGATTCGTCTAAGCCACTCTTGTTTAATGTGAGACACTCGTAGGATAACAGAAAGATGTCCCAGGGATGTATAACTTCTGTGGAGGAGATCCAGTCTTGGTGGGAAGTCCCCGCCATAGCGCACTTCTGCTCTCTCTTCAGGACGGCGTTCAGTTTACCAGACTTTGAAATCGAGGTAAATCACCATACCTGTATGAATTCACTAAACAAAACCAACTCAAGTTGACCATGTTTCCAGCAATCTGACTTTGTTTGCCTCGCAAACGCTCACTTTAACCATTCACGTTATAAGTTAGTGAATGGGACGTCAACGCAAGTCTCTGATAGTGACGTTGATAGAATAAAGTCAGTTATTTAGTTTGGTTTATATAATAACATAACTAACGTTAAACCGTCACTAGGCGCGTTGACTTATTTCTCCAATACAAACTTCGTGTTTCTTCAGTGATTAACTTTAGTAGTGTTTTGTCTTTGTTTATAAACCGCGTTATTGGTTAGTGAGTTGGGTGATATAGTAAGGTTAGACTTTGTTCTGCCTTGTTTAAGTTAAACCAATTGCTAATATAAACGCTGCGATATTTCTGTTAATTTTAGCGTTAAGTCGTGCGTTGTTTTAAGTTTAAAGTCTCTTCTTCATTCTCGTAAGACCGGTTTTCATCCTCCCATTTAAGTGGCGTCGAATAGATTTAAGCATGCTACGCTTTCCAGTGACTTAACTCGATCACCTGGGCTTGTTTTGTTTTATCTTAACGTTAAAGTTAGTCATTATAAACTCAAGACAAGTTCATGATTGTTGGGATACAAGTTTATTGTTGGATCACAGCCTGCCTTCGACTTGGCCATTGTTTCCTACTGTCTGTTTTGTTTGTTATTGATTCAGTTTCTTAACAATGATGCTGTAAAGTTGGTCTCTCGTTGATCCAACGTTACCAATATGAATGCAACCCAGAAACCTTTAAATTGAGTAGTTGAGCCCCCCCCCCCCCCCCATTTTTATCATTACCTCCTTTAATTTACATTTGGAAACAGTACAGATCGTGTGTATTTGTCACAGACATCAGTCCTTCTCGACCCCCACATGTGTGAAACGTGCTGGCCACTGGCTTTGTTATTGCTTGAGGGGTTTGATCTGCTGATCACCGCGTGCTGCTTCCAAGAAAAGTTATAACTGGCGTGATCAAATGGGAATTTCATACTAAAGATGGACTGATATTGCCTTACGACAGATTATTATGCAGAAACTACTTTTAATTGTGTTATTTGTGTTTTTATTTGACTCAAAATAACCAAATCAACAAGTAAACCCTATATGTTATGGTTTTCATTATGATTATTAATAACAATCATGCTGTTGTTATTGTTAATCATAAAGATAATTTTATGCAGATTTGTTTTTATTGTGATATGAACAGATTTCTCGCTTGAGAATGAATGGCTATTTAAAAAGTTTAGTGAATTATTGTTTGATTATTCCAAATGATAATTTGAATAATCATCTATGCTGTGTGTTTGATTTAAAATTATTGTTTTTAATATTCAAACAATAATTTTAAAAGTTACTTTACTTTATAATACTGTTTTTGGGTTCTATTTTTCAGTGACCAATGATGCTATTTATTAGTATCAGTATGTGTCCGTATCAATTCAATTGAAAAGTGTGAATGTAAAACATCTATAATAATATCTGCCAAACCGATTATCGGTCTCTAATTGGTAACTTGGATGTCTTTTTTTTTTTTGCTCATGTTTGATTTTTTTTTTTTTGCAACACTATTGCATACAGCTTCCTGCATGTGTGTACTGTGTGTAGTGCAGATTACAGGCAGCGTGTCAATGCAGTGTCAAAGGATTTACATTCAGAGGGTGTGAGACTGTGTCAGAATCAAGTCATTGACCGTTTCACGATTCCTCTTCGCATCCTAATTGCATTCAGCGTAGGTGTCCAAGGTCATTCAACACAAAAGCTCTCAGTCCCACTTCAGTATCCTGGTAACTTTGCAGCCGCACGTGAATGGGACTGTGAATAATCCAATCGGTTGCTTTAATCTAGCGATTGAGACGTTTTTTAAGTCATCCGTCACATTGCGCCAGTCTTCTATTATTATCTTTGCCTTAAGCTGAATTGTCCCTATGCTTATTAGCTTACAAGTGACTGTTGAACATGGTCGTTACATTGCCGTAAAAGAAAATAAGTAGGACATTTTTAGTTGAACATATTTTGCCGTTGTAATTTAAAAACTTTGCAATTTTATGTTCAATTCAAGTCAGGTACAACGATGAATTGAGCTTTTGTTTTTTGCATCCAGTTGGCGTCTTTGGATTTCTGTCAAACTTCATCTCATTTGCGTGAGCCATTCAAAACATGTTGATGGGAATGTCATCAAAGCAGATTTTCCAGCAACTTGCTCAAAGACGATCCTCGATGTGGTGTTGCATTGGCTTAGCTGACGTTTTCTTGTACCTCGCCTGATTTTTTTCAACCCTAGTGAGCCTCATGCAGGGCTGTGTCTAAAAAAAGCAGGTGGATAGTTCGGTAAATAGAACGCAAATCCGTCTGTAAGAGGATACAATGTCTTTTACGTGGGAGAAAGCCTACTTTATAAGGTGGCCGTATGGCTGTTTGTTTTAAATGACTTTGCACATTGACATTGTAGTACACCTGATCTTTGTCACAAAGACTTTAACAATCTCACCTGTTGAGTCGGATTTTCATTCTTTTAATGAACAGTGATATAACTTGAACAAAAGGATTGGTAAAGAATCTAGTCAAGAATCTTGTTTTGTCAAATATTTGAATGTTATTTTGCCTTAATAAGACCGAAAGCCACTGAAAGATTGAATTTGATCATGATTGTCACACTCAGAGCACAAGCTTTGTGTGTCGAACACAGTGGATATTACAAAGGCAATGATCCAGTATGAAGTATAAGGTGTTGGCCAGCTCCTTTTCTTCTCAGGATCCGTTCCGGAGGCCGACAATGGAGATTCTCCTTGGCATGCTGACAAAACGGCTCCTTGCACATTGTTCCTTGGTTACATTTCACAGTCGCGCTCCGTATCTCTGCCCTAGATGAGAGAAGGGCTCGGCAGGAAGAGGCCTTATTCGCTTGGGCTCTCTCCGTGCTCTTTGTCTGTGTGAAGCACGCTTGATTTCCTGGCAGTGTGGCTGTGAAACGAGCCCTGAAATCCCACCACCTCCAAGAGGCGAGAGAGACCGAGTCCTTCAGGACGTCCCCCCCTCACCCCTCATACACAAACACAGCCAGAGGACCGAGCCTGCTGACTCCACGCAGAGTTGGTGTTTTGTTGCTTGTCTGTTTTCATATGTCTTCATTATCAATTTGGTGGTGTCTGGAGAGTGAGTGGAGATGGAGAATTGATCTGTGGGCATTTGGTCCAAGCGTCCAAGATGAGAGTGGGACTTAATTTAGTTTATGAATATTGATTATGTTTGGTGGGCAAAGTCAGCAATGTGGGCATCTGAAAGACAAGCTCATTACTAATTGCTCAAACTTCTTATAGAGAAGTACTGACCATCACTCACTCACACTTTTTAATTGTGTAATAATTGACCCTTGGAGGGAACATATGATCCTTTTGGTAAATCTGAAGCCATTACCATGTGTGTACTTGTTCTTCATTTTTACACTACAATTCAAAAGTTTTGGGGCGGTAAGATTTAAGTGTTTTGACATTTTGAAAGTCTCTCATTCTCAAATAGGCCGAATTTATTTCAAAATAAACAGTAATATTGTTTTATCCATTTAAAATAACTGTTTTCTATTTAAATATATTTTATAATGAAAAAAGTATAATGCTCTTGCATCCAGATTCCTTTCACACAGGTTTACTAGTTGTTTTTCCATTTCTTTTTTTAATGAGAATCAGTGACCGAGCGAGTTTATAATTGGGACGACTGATGCACCCCTAATTAACACTTTTCTCTGTTGGAGATCACAGAGGCTATTGTGCAAGAGCTCATTAAGCCTTTGTCAAGCTCTGACGTAGCACATCCATCCACATGTTCCCTGACAGCTGTTTGTCTCATTCATGATCTTACATGACAGAATTTTCCCAGTGGATTATCATGGACTCCTCCCTTTCATCATCTTTATCACACCTTCATCCTTGGGTACAAGTGCCCCCTTAAGCTCTTTCCTCCACCCAACTTGGGGTTGTGTGCTCTGTCGGTGTTGAATAGAGCCTCATTCACGTTCCTTCTCACTCACTGCTGCTCCATCATTGGCCCTGGCATGAGCATGACTAAATCACAGATGGTGGCTTTCTTTGCCTCTCCCCCCGGAGAGCTGAGATGGTCGTAACTGGGTGCTGGTGTTCATCTGGGGCACCTTTTCTTTAGGGCCCTGCACTGCTTGATTGTAAAGGGAGATTTAATCTCAATGGGCCTGGTGGAGCAGGAGCTGGCGACAAGCTCTTGTTTTGAAAAACAAATGGATTAAGATGGGGAAAATGGATTTGTGTCAGGAGGATCTGTAGTGCTCTCTCGTTTTGCTCCAACACCGGGTGCCGATTGTGAAGGATGGCCGTGAGCGTGTGTGCGCGTGCGTATCTGTGAAGCCTGTGTTGAATTAGCAGCTTTGATGTGCGAGGGGCTCACCCTTGGAAGAGCTCCTGTGGTTTTGAGGAGGAGGAAGTGAGCTCTGACTGTTGGATTTGCACCATCAATAACTGACGGGTCAGCAGGCCTTGTTTCAGATCCCAGATGCTGCAGCTTGACAATAATCGCTCTCGCCCACCTTCATTCTAGGGATTCTAACTTATGCCTAATCTGCTCCAGTCAACCAGATGAGAAAAGATATTCACATATTCTCAACATTATTTCTGTTCATTAATTACTAGAGCGTGGCAAGGCCATACTGTTTGTGACATGATCTTTCTAAGCATTCAAATCATGTCATCAGCGACAAATCATCATACACTACCGTTCAAATGTTTGGGGTCTTTTTTTCTTTCTTTTATTCAGCAAGAATGCGTTAAATTGATATTGTCTATAAATACTTTTTTAATGTTACAAAAATTGAAATTTCAAATAATTGCTGTTCTTTTTAAAGGGTTAGTTCACCCAAAAATGAAAATTCTGTCAGTATTTACTCACCCTCATGTTGTTCCAACCCCATCTTCATCTTCGGAACACAAATTAAGATATTAAGATCG